GAAATAGGCCACAATCACAGTTGATTTTAGCACTGCATTATGCCAAAGAACCAGAGGACAGAAACACAAGGTACTGACAAAGTACTGAAGGATCAGTATCTCATGGAGGGAGTTTGGTTTATCAAAAACCTCCCGAAGAAAATCTTACACACCATGGATTAGTGCCGACCTAAAGTGCCCAAGAACACCTTTAAATAGACTGTAGTCACAGTAATATTCTAGGGAGCCCAAAGTAATTAGTTAAATATGAACGTCCCCTTTTGTTCTTCAATGAGCTATAAATTGAAGAGGGGAAAATGTGTGAAAGAAAGTGAAAATAATTACAGAATCATTTTTCTAATTGGGCAACCTCTGGAATAGTCCAAAAATGAATCAGAGTTAGCTATCCCATTAGGAAATTCAATTTTGTAGAATTCACCAATAACTCCTAAGGAATAAAAGACTTAGCTGTAGTTATTCTAAAATGTTTGACTAATGTATTATTTTTACTAAGTTTCATAGACAATATAACTTTTTTTCTCTTGTGGCTTCTCAAAGAGAAAAATATCTGAAAGTTATTGGGTATGCTAAGGGGTTTCTGGGGTTTAAATTTCTATGTAGTGTTGAAAAGAAAAATTAGAAAGAATAAAGAATTAGGAAATTGAGGGAAAATCAATATCCCTAATACAACCTCAAAGACATTGTAACTAACATCATATTAGATTTTCTTATGGTTTTTGAGACTCTCTATTTATACCTCTGTGACTAAATATTAGGGGTTTTTTCTCTTGCCTTCTCCAGGAGTAACTTTGGGTGTCTGGAATTATAGGCTATGGGTAATTCAATAAGTTTTAGGTGTAATACAAGAACCTGGTTTCATCTGCCTTTTGCTGGCAGCCAATTGTCATAGGAATGGTCGATAGTTCATCAATCAAGACATTTTCCTTGCAAAGCATAGTTTTTTAAAAGCCAGAATTTGACATAAAAATAGGTGTTTGGAAAAACAGCATGAACAAGGAGATATCCAGAATGAGATTGTACAGAGCCATCTTTGTGGGAGAAATGCTACAGTGAGGTGAGTACTAGGCTGAAGAGTGAGGGATCGGCACCTGCTCTATTGCGGATGTGAAGGCCCCGCCCATGGGAGGAGCCAGGTGTGTGGTGTGCACCCACCTGGGCGATGTACTGGGCAATGATGACCAGGCTGACCAGCATGCTGATGTTGGCCAACATGGAGAAGATGGTCATGACCCTCAGGCTCCGGATGAAGACCAGCAGCACCAGGAAGGGCAGGAAGGAGAGCATGTAGAGTCGCGAGTCCATGGTGGGGGTCGGTATGACGGTCTCGTTGCTGTGACAGTTGTTGGTTGTGCTATTGATGGCTTCCACTACCTGAGGAAGGAATGGGGAAGGCCAGAGGAGGAGATGACAAAGCTTCTGACCGCATGGTTGGCTCAGTGCCTCGCCCATAATTAAACTGCCTCACAAAGAGCTGGAGTGCCCCCCGGTGCCAAGTGTCACAGTGAGGTCGGATGAATTTAGAACTTCTTATTCTAAACCCTCTACGCCATACTTCCTCAAAAGAGGCTGCATGAATAGCTTTAATAAAAATAATAACTGGATTCAGAGTGGCTATTTGTTGGCTTTTGGCAAACTAGCATCCATTCCTCCCGATATTGATTTATTTTGGTGAATTCTCTTGGCCACTGAATGCAGCCTGGGAGGACTGTACATCATGGTCACATGGCAGAGCTGAAGGACTGGCCTTCGACTCAAGCGAGGGCATTCAGTATCTCTTCCAGGAATCGGAATCCAAATCCGAAGCAAAGGGACACAAGGACAGAACTAGGAAAGGGTAAAAATTAATTCTGAGAGTAGATCCCTGATGAGACTGCTCGTTTGTTCTACTATCTATATCCTCCCAGCTATGCAGGTTCTTGTTCTTTATGGAGAACCCATTTTAAAATTTTGTAAGTTAGCTAATATCCTCTCATTGAACTTATTTTCTGCTTCAATTCTCCCAGATCTGTTTCTTTTGCTTATAACCAACCCCCCTCATCACTTACTGTGGCTAATCCATACACTTACTACTTTTATAATTGGACCAATACTGGCATTTTGAGTGAGAAAACTCTTCCTTGTATGGATTGGATCATTCATTAGAGAACATTTAGTATCCCTGGACTCCACGCAATGAAAGCCATTAGCAACCCCCAACCACTGTGATAAATAAGTACCCTCTCCCCGCATCCCCCAAACACAATATAAACATTCTCTTGCAAAGTCAGGGGTGGTGACCACCCTCTGTTTAAAATCAGTATGACTTAACTGATGCAGTCTTATCATGCAAGCAATACAATCCTCTGCAGAACAATTAGAAACTAAAGTTAAGCAGGAAGAAAATATAAAAGCATTGATAATCTCAGTATCCATGGATAGCCGTGGTAACACCTTGGAATATATTTATCTATATATTTTCTACACAATATC